TATGTGTGACTGGATATTTTCAGACACAAGGTTTCAGAGTCTGTATTTGTATTTCACAGCTAGTATTGACATGGCAAAGTTTTAGTGACTCATTGGTAACTTAAAAAGCATTTGTGCTCCTATTTATGTACACTATTATGCAGTGGATGTGAAAGTAATGCTCTTCTACTGTGACATATTTTCAGTTTGTCTTGGACACTTGTGACTTGGTTGTCTGTCTGCAGCATTTTTCTTGTTTATTATTGCTGTCTCGCCACATCAGATCTCAGGCCACTTGAGACTATTCAGTCCAGTTAGGAGAGGTTGGGTGGTTTTCCTAACAGCCCATCTCTCTTGCCAACTTGTTTGTAGGGCCCTATTGAAGTCTGCCTTCCCTTTTAAGTCTTATAGTCATGTAATGGTCAGAATGTTTGCAGCCAGACATCCTGAGTCACCTATGATGCGGGTTTCTTTCTGTGGGAAAGCTTGACCATGTGCTGTGAGGGCAGTTCATTGCTCATAGACAGTAGGAGCACAACCCACTATGTAAAATAAACTAGCTGCCACAACATGTCGTTGCTACTGTTAACAAGTGTGAAATAACAGCCACACTGCCAGATGAAAGGGTTACAGCTGGTCATACAAAGGCTCTGCTTGTGCACCACTGTCACTTTGATAGATACAGTAATCCTAATCCTTGTACTTACGTACACATGCGCCTTGTGGAGTGGCAGCAAGTTACAGCAGCTGTGTCCTCGTTGTGTTCTTTCCCGTGTTTCTATGAAGTTCTGTTCTTATGTGTCTGTTCTTATGGTGGTGTCTGTTCTTATGGTGTTATGTTTGTTGAGGACAGAATTTTCCTCACTGTGGGATCAATAAAGTACCTACCTACCTTGTTCTTGTTTTATGAGGGTGATAGAGGGCTGCCTTCTAGCACATTAGTACAACTCTGCAATGTGGATACGGTGTAGTTTGTCACTAAACTGGTGTTATCTAGGTGAGCTGTTGGTGTCTTAAAGAGCACTGAACAGGTGTCATTGAAAAAGTAGGATGAAAAGTGAGTGGGTGAGATCACATATGAAATTAAACCCACATTTTTGTTGCTTCTGATGGTTCAGTAGCCTGGCTGATGTCATATGGGCAACATAGAGCAATGTTTGGGGTGGTCACCTTCTATAAATATACTTGAGCTGTTCGTCACCCTCTTTCCTCCTGCTTATATACAAACTTTTCACTTCAGACATTTACAGCCTCTTGATTCAGTGTCTATTTCACATCCTACACCGCCTTCCCTATTCTCCCTATCTACATTCCTTCTTGAAAGTTTTTGTCTGTCTCTCCAAGGCACAGAGACATGGGTCTACAATATTTGCTTTAACTTCTCATTTCCTGTTTGAGTTGTGTATCCAATCCCTTGTTCTCATGCCCAGTACACATCAAACACTCATGCTAAATGAGAAAAAGGGAGAGAAAGGAGGTTACAAAGAACACATAAAAGAGGGGTTGGGTGCAGAAACACATGTGATGGGAGATGGGTGTGTAGGAAGAATCAGGATGAATATGTGATTATAGTGGAAGGGAAAATCCTGACTGATGACACAGGCCAAAGGAAAATGAAAAAGCAGTAGGAAATACAAAGTGGTTAATTATCATAATATCCACAGATATGGCCAAATAAGGCCAGACTCTCACCAAACGCTGATTTTATGCTGCAAGATCATTTTTCTGTCTAATCTAAATTTAAAGGAACCTCAGGTCCCATAGCAATTTGTTTTTATTCAATGGAATTATTTATTTATCCAGTCATTTTCTAAATTTACTTTAACAAGACTGTGGTACCAGGTGATCAGGAGGGGGCTGCTGGGTATGTGCCAGTCAAAAAAACAACATTAATAGCAAAAATCTACCTCACATTTCCATCACCAAGAACTGCTTCGATTCAGGCTGTGTGTGGGCTCAGTCATGGTTTCAGTTGCCAGTGCCACTAACCCTATTGTATTAGTTCATGAGTCAAAACTGCAGTTTGGTTGGAACATTTTCTAAAAATGAGCCACATGTCAGTGCACACTCAGTCTGTTCTACCAATAAATATGATATAAAACCAAACACTGCTCTTTGTTTTCCATGTCCAATGAATGACATTATTAATGATGATTAATGAAAGTCAATTAAATAAACATCAGTTCCTTATGTTGTATTTTCAGGTACCAGAAGTTTTTTTGAGTTTTAAAAAAAGCTTTTTCATTTTTTTTCTGTTTTTACAGCTGTTAACAAAAAACAAACCCTGTGCATCATTTGTTGTTTTATCAAACTATGGATAAAAACCAGTGAAACTCAATTTAGTCATTATAATCAGACATAAGAAATAACAGACTGTTGTTCAAGATTGTTATTTGTTATACTTAAATAACTTTAAGCTCAGCAAAAAGCATCGATCACTGCCTTTAAACTAAAATCCTATAGAATAACTACATTGTTGCCTAAGATTTTTGCTTAAATGGAAAAGCTAAAACAAATTTTAAGAAACAAACTAAGAAAAATAAATATTTAGTTTATATGGATTCAGGTTAATCATTTCAGCTGATGAGGACTTACACAGCAGCTGATTGCACTTCAGATACTGACAGTAGCAACTTTATACTTAAAACAGTCCTCCAAGAAATGTAAATGGACGCTCAACAAAATATAAACACAGGAGGAAACAGAAGAAGGTTGAATGTGGAAAGGTAAAGCCAGCAGCAGGCTTTTTAGGCAGGTATGCATCACATTTCTTTTTCCAATTACATGAAATTTCCAACTCCTCACTCCTCTTTAGCATAAATAACTTCAGTGAACATCAGGATGGTGATTTACACACTGAACTACACTGATCAGTGGGAGGTTTCCACACAGAAAGAGATTTTGCAATGCGGCCGTATAATGTGACCAATCCCTACAATTAATAGATGACTCAGACACTGTCAGCAAAAAAAATGACAGCTTACACTTAAACCTAAACCAAGCACAAGCAGATAGAAGGATATAGGAAATAGGGGGATGGGTGGAGCTCAAGCAGATGAGTTTTTTTCCCCCAATTTATCTTTAATTTTGCTCAAAATCCCTGCCTACTAGAAAAACATGTGGTTCAAATAAGTGCAACCCCCACAGACCCCCTGAAGTCAAGCTCTCATTAGTGAATTTACTGGACAGAGTAGAGCAGAGGAGGGGAAAAAGACTACTGCTATTTCATTTTCTACAAAATACTGGCAAAATCTGACAATACACTTAAAGAGGTGGAGTAAAAGAGTAAAAGAGGGTGTTCAACACACTCACTATGTGGCCTTACATGCTACATGGTAATAAATAGTAAGAAGGTCTGGATATGGCATATGCAACATATACTCCACTCACTCTGAGGCCTCATTATATGTTGGCTGGTAGCCCTGGAATGTCACTCACATTTCGCCTGACCTTCATCTGTCTCTTTCTCTGGTTTCTTGTACTGTATACTGTATGTCTGCCTCTCCATTTGTGATTGCTTTAACTTTCTCAAGACCCCTCCGAAACCCATGTTCATGCATCGTACACCCAAGAGGACAGCAATTTCCCTCCTCCCTCCTTCTGACAAACCAGATTTCTCTACCACTCTCCCTCCCACACCTTCTCTCCCACTCACTGTCTGCGTTTACTCTCATGTGGGGCTGAGGCTGTAACGTCATTTCATTCTCAGTCAATCTTGTCGTGGTTTTTTTTATTATTATTTTTCCTTCCCTCAGGGGATACTAGTAAAACCCTCACAGAACTAGACGTGTTATGGCTCACAGAAAGTGACAAGTCATAGTCTTGCTAAGAGAAAGTGAACTCACACTCTGGAGTATTAAAGGTTCGATGGGGGTCACAGTGAGTCACCCAACTGTTTGGCCTCTTACTGTTCACTGCAGGGTGTCACTTGTGAGTCAGCACAGCAGACTGGACTGGGCTGTATCCTCTCTTGAGAGTCTCTTATTCTGTTTCACTTTTAGCCCTAATCATCTAAACCCCAAACACACACACATACCACAAAAATATATTTGAAATGACTGACTTTTCCTTTTCAGTACAGAGGATAGATGCCTGTCTGCTGACTCTACTGACCCACAGGACTTTTTGACTGCAGACTTTGTAATGTCTCTGGTGAATGAAATATGTTTGAACTTCAAAGTATTTCTGCTTAAGGTTGCATGATGGTTTGAAAACCAGTTATGTGAGGCTAGGGTGCGTCAGATACAATGTGTGAGAGAGTAAAGCTGTCCAGATGTGCACCTGTGCCACTGTTCTCTCATTTCCATATCTATTGCTGCATTCAAATGACAGGAAACCTCCACTGCACCTTCTTCAGTCCTCTGGACATTTGAAAGAAGACCAAAAGGAATTGTAACTGATGCTGTACATTTGTGCTACATGAATTTATGTTTTAATTAACTGGGATTTTACTGCAGTTTAGTCAGAGAGGTAGAAACCTGAGGACCAATTATTTCTACAAATAAAGGTCATTCCAGACAAAATAGGGAACTTTGGATCTTACATGGCTCATTTACTTAGTCTTTAATAAACTGGTTCCAACACAACACTTGTCATTTGAACATTCTTCTGGTTAACCTCCCATTAACACAGCTAGCTCTATCAGCAGTCTTATGGTTGCCTACAAACCCAGCTGGTTATGAGGCCCAATTTATGGTTAGGCTATTTCAGTGAAGGTCTAGCCTATACTGACCCCTGCTGATTACTATTCTAAAAGAATATAAACATAAATATCTAAAGCAAAGACACCTCAACACAAGATGTATAAAGGAATCACAGAAGACTATATTTTCATTTTGTTTTTGTATTAAAGATGCCTTATGTTTTCCAGTAATAATTACTTAATCAACAATTAGCTTTAATAATTCATTCAGTAACAATTGTCTCTGAGCAAAAATACATTTTGGCCGTTTTCCATATTTGTAGACAGCCTTTCTTCTGCAGTATCCTATTGTCCTTTATGTTAACTTCTACTTAATTCGAGTAAAATAAGACTTTGCGACCTTTTGCGACTGCCCATACAATGGCGCACGTATCGGAAAACGGCACTGAGATGAAGATGGCGGAGGGAGGCAATGATGCAGAGCTATTCAAGGAGAAGGCGAATAAGTACTTTAAAGGTAATTTGGCAGATCTGACAAGTCAGTGGCTTTTATCAACAGTTGGTAACAGATAAAGATGTGACTGCCAATTATGGTGGGGCCTCATTGTGATGTGTCGTGCTTCACCTCGAACCGGTTGCTAATGTTAAGCTAAGCTAACATTGCTCACAAAGCATGCTAACTGTAAAGCTCATTCATTTGATTACGGTGGATTGAGCTGGAGCTGCGGTTAGCTGGCTTCGCTAACGCTAGCTAGCAGCGTTAACCCTAGCGATTTTAACCCATGCCGTCACGCGTGTCATGTATAGTGCACCGCTATCTTGCAAAGATTTGGTGCTTCCTGAGGTTTAAAATCTCTAATGTGTTCAACAGTGACATCTTTGGTCTTGTTTAGTTGGGTTATCAGGTTATTGTGTAGTTTTAAGTGAGACTCATGATACAATAACTAGAATTTTCCGTCAGCCAGCCGGCGCGTGTGAACAGCTGCAAGGCATAGCAATCACGTAATGATCAGTGTAGTAGCCTACTGTTTCTTAACTTTTTGATACATTTGCATTTTAATTTGGATGTATAATTTCTTCCTAGAAAGTAGTTAATTTGTAAGGATTTAGGTAACTGCTAACGACCACTTCGTTTTGGTCCAAGAAGTTTAATTTGACAGGGGATTGTCGATAACGAAAGTGAATTTCTTCTTCGGTTCATGCAGCCGCCTGTTCTTCCTACTGCAAAATAGTAGAGACTTGTACTAATGTTATGGAGCTCACATATACAACAACGATAACTTAGAGACTTGCAATCACGCTGCGTTCAGTGTGTCATATCCGTGTGTCAGAGATTACTATCTCTGAAAGTTGTGGCAGGTACCGTTACATGTTGCTTACTTATTGAAAAATGTTACATAAATTGTAAAACTTAATTTGCTTGTTGTTTACTGGAAAATGTGTAATATTATAATAATATAATAGTAACAATATAGTTAGTATACATGAAGTATGTTTTTATAACTGATTTGCAAGTGTATTTAAGCAAAATGTAATTGTGATAAAATTAAGTCAAAAGTATAATCCTGTACACCCATGTGGGTTGAAAGAAGCAGAGGTTTGCAAATTCATGTAAAACGCTGACATTTTATGGAGACACAGATTTTATGACTGGCCTCTTGATCGAGGAAAGGTCTGAAATCCTATTCTCTATTTTGTATACAACACGTGTTGTACCATGGCGTTGGCCAATGCAGTTCTTCCACCACATACAGCGGTCACACACTGTACGGCTGTTGAACATGAGTACACTAGGGTAGCAGTGGCCACCTCCTTACACTTTGCACACTTTTGTGATTAAAGGATGATTTATATTGGTTGATAACCTTTTTTTGCTGAACAGTGTTGTAGAAAGGTCCATACACAGATGTTGGTAGGTAGGTACTTTATTGATCCCTCAATGGGGAAGTTTCAGCAGCAATGGAGAACAAACAACGTAACACCATGAGAAACAAACACCACACACATATCTTGATAAACAAGTTTCAGTACCTCAAGCAACATTAGAGAACAGAGAGCATAACACCATGAGAACAAGCACCACACACACATCCTGATGAATAAATTCTAAGTACTCAAAAATAGACAGAATCAAGTATTTGAATGATCAAGAACAGAATTTACATATGTGCATATTAACCATGCATTTTACCCCAGGATTTGAGTATTGGACCTCAGTTGACTATTACATAGTCCCTCATATTTTCACCTAGCTTATCCCTGCACTGATGTATTGTACAGTCTGATTGCTGTGGGGAGGAACGACCTACAGTACGGTAACGCTCCTTCTTACATTGGGGATGTACTGTAACAGTCTTGTGCTGAAAGAACTGTTCAGAGCCGCTACTGTGTGGTGCATTGAATGGGAGGGGTCATGCATGATGGATGTTAGTTTTACCAGCATCCTTCTGTCTGTCACCTCCTTGATGGAATCCAGAGGGCAGCTCAGGACAGACCCAGCTCTCTTGACCAGCTTGTT